GCAATGGTGTTTATAGAAGTGTTGAACATAGAGTTGTGACAAATAAATTTAAAGAGAGATTTTCAACTGCATTTTTCTTATGTCCCTCTTATGACACAGAAATCCTTAGTTGTGTTGAACCTTGTCTTTATAGAAAATTTACATTTAGAGAATTCAGACAACAAGTCCAAGAGGATGTCAAGAATTTTGGTTATAAAATAGGTCTTCCTAGGTTTCTTGTATCAACCAACTAGAACACACACAAGTTAAATTACGGAAGATTTGGTTTTGTAGCCCTTTTTAAATTTATTTTTAGTTTTATGTCTTTTTTATGGGAGATTTTCAATTTTACAAGTAAGAGATCTGAAAATGTCATTTCTTTTGTTAAATTTATAAGTGATCAAAAGAGATCATTTCCACTATGTTACAACTTTAATTAAAAAGTTAAAAAGGCAAAAAAGCCTTATTTTTTCCCCTTATTTTTTCTGTTTATTTCACATGTCTCACAATATTAGAACCTTAAATCATCGATTTTGAAGACCGATTATTATATTGTGAATCTAGTAGTCATAATTGAACCTTAAATCATCGATTTCGAAGTATAAAATTGAGAGATTTTGCCTCAAACTTCTAGATATGTAATTTGAGGGTTTGAAGGTCGATTTAAATCCAGAATGAAAAGTCTTCGCATTTATTATAGTATAAATTTTAGGAATCGCATAGTTGTAATATGAAATTACAATTTATCCCTATTTAGTTTGTAATTACATCAATTCCTGAAAAAGTAAAACAAATCGGATACATAATATGTAACTCGGATACATTAAAAACTAGCTCGATACATTATAAAATAAACCGGATACATAATATGTAGCTCGGATACATTAAAAACTAGCTCAGATACATTCAAAACTAGTTCGGATACATTCAAAACTAGCTCGAATACATTCAAAACTAGCTTGAATACATTATAAAATAATTTAGAATTAGGAGAGAAATAAGAGATTTTAGAGGTTTTTAGAAATAGAAGGGAATATCAGAAATAAGGGAAACATAAGACGTGTATTTTAGTAAATTTTCCTTTATAAAATTGAATTCATGATCCAAGACACATGACAAAACAATACAACATCTACACACTCTTTAATCAAAATTGAAATACTAATTAATCCCATGGACTTAACCAACATTCCTCAGGCTTTACTTTGTATCTCTCAATATCTTGGCAATAATCATAAGTTACAAAATTTCTTTGCACCCAAGCATAGTCCAATTTTTGATCACTTGAAAGGTGCCAAGAATTATATTGATCCCACCAATTTTGAGTAGTTGTTGAAACACAAGAAGGGAAAGGATCTTCCCATTGACAAGCATCAACATTGAAATTCATATATGTTGATACAAATGGTGCATTTTTCCAGTCCGTTTTCTCTAACCCGCCCCGAGTAGCCCAATCATCTGCGTTCCATATGCTCGAAAATAAGTACATTGGCTTCTCGTTAGGGAAGAAATTGTTCATGTAATTCGCGTTTTTGTATACTCTTATTGGAACCTTATCCACGAAAAACCTGCACACACAACAATTAAATACATACAAAGATGGAATAACCTTTAATCTTGTCTTGTGATCGTAAACATGTCATGTGGAAAGTTGAAATGTCAAAAAAGGGAAAAAAAATAATTTATTTTTTTAATGAGTAAAAAGAAAAGTAAGACAAACAAATTAAAACAGTTAATATTTCTATACTTAAATCTATTTCCTTTTGCTTGAAAGTTGTGAGTTGACTAATTTAAAAGTTTAATATTTTTTCCAAGTGCACCCCAATTTCGAAGAAGGTACTAGGTGTAATAGTATTCTTTATTCATTTGACTTATAAAAAGACAGATCTCTACCATGAAATGTTTTAAAGTGAATCTACATGTCTATGTTCGATACTCACATTGAGATTCGACTCAGGTTAGAATCACATGAGTGCAAGTGGTTCATCTCAACCCCATTCGCCCAAAACATATATTGTATAATATAATGTTAAAATTATTTTTTAGATATATATAGTAGATGTTGAATCATCTTGACTTTTCGTGTGTTCAATATTGTTAATACTTTGAATCTCCTATATGAAAATACTGACTCTGCTATTACTGATCTGACTAATTCAAATTTCAGATTGAAAAAAGGTACTTACACAATTTGGTGAGAATTCCAAAGAATAGAATATGTATGGAAGTCTTGAGTAGGGTCAAACCATAGAACATGCCTCATCTCACGCCCACCAATACCATTTTTATACACATTTGTTTGAATAAGATAGGGTTCCCCTGTTCTATTCCCCAAGAACTCAGTCTAGCTCATCTCTAGTTGGCCCTGCTCCATCTTCTGTGCACATCTGTCGAATTCAAGATTTAAATTTTATGAGTTCAACACGTAAAAATTCACATTTTTTGTCATAAATTTAACTTGTATACATTAATTAATGTGTATACATTATACACTTATTATATACTAAATATGCATCGACAATGGCTAGGTAGACGAAATTCTTTTAGTTGACTAACTAAAAATGTTAAGATCCATAGCATCAACTTTCCATATTGAACTTGAGATAGTAACTTCAAAAATAGATTAATCACAAGAGTTTTTGTATATGATCAATGTATATAACTAAATTAAGTTATGCATGAAATATATTCAAAATCTTGCAACTTACATAATAAGCTGTAACAACACCAGCTGAATCACCTCCTACCAATTTCAACTTCATGCTAAACCAACCAAATCTATATCTCTGTCTGGTCATAAATCCACAACCTATAAGAAGAAGATATACATCAATGTTACTTTAAGGTTCAAATGTCAAAAATAAATGAAAAAAATTATAGAAAAATAATAAGCACTATATTCTATTGAGTTAATTCTAAGTAGAGTTAGATCCCTTTATAATATCAAAGTTTTCATTGGAACTAATTTTCATGTTATGTTGTATGTTTTTTCATAACACTTTGCAATATCCAGACAAAATAATATATGTTGTTATAGAGAGATTTGACTGTAAGTACGTACTTGCTTTGTTATCTAATGATAGATACCAGATCTGTCCATCTTCAGAAGTCTTGAAGTGAGAGTCAGGACAATCACTTTTACTAAAGTTGTCTTCAAATGAACATTTAATTTCAGAGCATAGGATAGCAATTACAATTCCAATTAAGAGAACTTTAGCCATTGAAGAAGCCTTTCTCTCCATTTTTGGTTTCTTCAATGAAATTCCTCTTGGAAGAGTAGTTAGACCTTGGCTAATAAATGGTCCTTTTCACTCATATTAAGGGCAAAAGTGGAAATAAAAATATTTTATGTTTGTTTAACATCTTTAATAAACTTTTTTTGCGCTTCGACTATTATTTTATTTTGTTATAATGACTCTTTTATGTTACTATTTGATATATTTTGTATTTATGCTAGTCTTTATTTGTCTTTTATATCTTCGAATAAGCAAGATTCTGCTCTTGTAAAATCAAAGATAGTTAAATATGTGATACTAATTGATTTAATATTAAAAAAACTTGTGATTTAAAATAAGTCAAAGATATTTTATGGTTATAAAATATTTCGTTAAATATAAAAGAAAACTTTTAAAATAAAATTGTTTCTAATTATAAAAGGTAACATTCCTTTTTAAATAGATTAAAAAGGAAGGAATGCAACATAATTGAGAAGATGAAATACTCCTCGGTTTAATTTGTTCGTATGATTTTGACTTGATACATATTTTAAGAAAATAAAGAAAACTTTTGTATAATGTATCAAAATGTTCTTTAATTTTATGGTCTTGAACATTTTAAGTGGAAAGTTAGAATCAAAGAGTTATTAATTAGGAAAATGACATTATCTTTTGAAATAAACTAAAGAGAAAAAAAAAAGATAAATAAATTAAAACGAATGAATGGATAGTAATAGTATGTTCTATCGTTTCTAAAAAATCAAATTAAAAACAAGTTGCAAGAAAGTCAGCTCTAAGATGCCTTCTTTAAATGAAAGTCAGACTGCATTAGATTAGTGTTAAGTTTTTATAATATAAACTTCTCGATTTAACAACTGGATTTTGCTAAGGTAATAATTACTCATTAATTTATTCATATTTGCCCCTCTACTTTTAAAAAAATTATCATTAATTTATTCATATTTTCCCCTCTACTTTAAAAAATTATTTATATTTATCCTTTGTTATACTTTTTAGCCACGTCTATCCTCGTAATTATACTTAGGGGGGGTTATATCTATTTACCTTCATAATTATGTTTTGTTTAAATATATCCCTTGTGGATTTTGTCCTAGTATAATCTCTTTTATAATTTAATTAATATAGTTGGCAATTTCTATCATAGAGATTATTAGAAATAAAAATATGAAATCTTAGACAACAAGAAGACAGTTTGGCCGAGTGGTCTAAGGCGCCAGATTTAGGCTCTGGTCCGAAAGGGCGTGGGTTCAAATCCCACAGCTGTCATTTTAATATTTCATTTTAGGTAATTGTTCTAAATAATCTAAAGAATAACTTGAATTAGTTATCGCCAAATCAAAACTCAAAAGAGAAGCTCTTCCTTCATTTGTATCTCCAAAAAAACAAAATCACCATGTACCATTAATTACATTTATGATAAATTCTTCAAAGATTAGTTTAATCGTCATTATCACGTCCTTCTCCCTCTTGAACCCCAACCCTAACCTCACCTGAGTACATGACTTTACTTTATCATAATCCTTCAAACCACAATAAATGGTAAATATAAAAATGACTGAAAGTTACATGACATTATTTACATCATTTATAAAATGACAAAGGTATATATATGCACTGCTTTTTAACAAAAGGTATTAGAGGTATATTTTACATTTAAAAAATGGCATATGGAGTGTCAAAAGTGGGATTAAAAAAACAATACAATATAAAATTTATGGAGAGGAATATTTCTAAAACATTAATTTTGTATTTAAATGTTCTTTGTAAAGTTTACCTCCCAACCTTTCTTTTTTAGTGGTTGGCCACCACATCTCTCATTTCTCTTTTTCTTTTTCTTTTTCTTTATCTCTTTCTTCCTTCTCTATCTCCCTCCTTTGAATATCTATACATAACTATCCATTCAACAAAAGAAAATAACACCATAAATTGTTTTCATTCAACTCTCACATTTTGTTTATTTATATTTGATGGATCAACTAGCTTGATTTTTGTTTTTGTTTTTCATGAATGCTTATCACATTTATATATCAAAATAATTATTTGGAAGAAGGTAATGGAAAATGCAAGGCCAAGGGAAGGAGAATTAGCTTTCTTTTTTTCTTTCACATATTTGTGTATGGTATTACCGTCGCTTTAATAAGGTACTATACTATTATTCAGAGACAGATTCAGAATTTAACTTTTAGAATAAAACATTATTGGTTCAATTGTACACATTCTTGGTTAGGCAAGGGAATGATTGAAACTTTTTTTTCTTCTATATTTTTTAAAATTGTATAATCTTTATAATATGTTCCATGTGTTTGCCTTTTTGGTTAGGCTATGGAATGATTTATTGACATTTTATGACCACAGGTTTTTTGGCTTGGGGTTTATAGTTTCTTCCATGGGAAACAAGATGAAGGGGATCATCAAAGGATTCAAATATATGTTTAATAATTTTGGTAATGCCTAAAGATTTTATGTTTTTGAGGTTTATGTTGTCTGGACTTTTCAAAATGTAATCGAATATGTATAGGATAATTTAAAAGTACATTATATCCAACACGTACTTAATAACATTTTTGAAAGATTTGAATAGAGCAGAGACTGATAAAGAAAATTGATTTGTGATTAAACAGCGGTGAAGGAGAGGGAGTTGGAGATTGGATGTCCAACTGATGTTAAACATGTGGCACATATTGGTTGGGATGGCCAATCTGGCAATGCACCAAGTTGGGTATGTTCTCATTTTCCCATCATGTTTCTTTGGTCCACAAATTATGTATCTTCTCCTATGCAATTTCATCATTTTGTACTAAACCTTTGTCAAGTGTCCTATGTTGGTTGAGGGAAAAAGTTATTAATCTTTTATATAGTTTTAGATAATTTTTATAGATAATTTTTATATTATGAACTAGTTTTTGAAATTAAGTTAATTTCAATATATGTGGAATTTACTTAATATGTTAGTAGAGATAGAATCGTCCTTGTTTATGGTTTATCCAATGTTAGACTTCTTTTGTCAATGCTTTAGAGGACCATCATTGGATATGGGTAAGAGTGGAACTAGAGTTTTACTTACGTGTTTAACAGAATTTGATTGTTTTTGTCAAAACTCAGCATAATTATATGTCTTAAGAAATCTATATAAAATATATAGTATTAATTTATTAAGGATAGATCCACCTTTGTGTTTCGGAAGCAGGGGCAAATTTATAACCTTAATTATGGTGCACATGAATCCATAATTTTTCTATCAAACTAGATATGTTTTATGTACATATTTTTTTAAAATTGATTTAGTATTATCTGCTAACACTCATTTTTTAAAAAGACTAAATGATACACCTTGCTCAATGCTGAGTTATTTACCAAGAAGATTAAGATTCAATTCCCACTTAATAGAAATCTCAAATCCACCTCTGGACGGAGGAGTTAAGTGTCACTTGAGTGAATGGAATGTCCTTTCCTTATATGATCCTGAACCACATGTGGAGCTAGCTTTTACGATTGAGCTAGCCAAATGTTCATTTTCTTAACAAAGTTTTCACATGCCTAACAATTTGATATTTTAGATGAATCAATTCAAGAAAGGGCCTGATTTTGCAGCAGCTTCTATTGGTAATTCTGGTTCTTCCCTTTCTCCATGGACTTCTCAAGGTAATCATTTGCTTTTAAGAAAATGTCTTTTTCCCTTAAACTCCTTTCAACAAAAGAATTATTGATCAAAATGTGCCTTAAAACAAAAATTAAAGATTAAACAGAGTATTTTGATATGTTGGCTTCAATCACATGTGTAGTGTCCTAATCAGACAATGGCAACTAGGGTTTCCTCACTGATCTAGATGTTGATTGAAAACTAATAATCTTGTCCTATGTTACGTTTGTATTAATTATTGTTGGGAGAAATATACAATTCAGCGGTGACATTTTTTCCTTTTAGTCAATTTCAGACAAAAATGATAATATATACTCCCTACGTCTCAAAAATAAATGTCACCTTCAGAAAAATTGTTCCAAAATAAGTGTCACATTAGAAATTTAAAGACAAAAAATAGTACTATAATTTTCCAACTTTGTAGTAGTGTTCAATTTTTAAAAGACATTTATCAAATAGGCGTGATTTAGTGAACTACACATTATATATATTGATTTCTTAACGGATGTGATTTCTTCATGTTTTTATTGCTCTAAGATTCTTTTCCTCAAGACAGGGAAATATTTTGGCTCATCCTTCACGAGATGTCTAAATAGGCCCTAGAAAGGGACAATTTTTCTAGTCTATCTGTCCAAAAACAAATTATTGGATGGTAGGCTATATATTGGCTTGTACTATAGTGCCCTTCAAAGTAGTAATTATTTTGTCGGGTACTTGTTATCTCACATCTTATAATACAAATATTGAGTGACTTTCTCCATTAAAGTTGAGGCAAATAAATAAATCACCTAACTTTATTAACATATACCTCAACTTCAATCATCTGTATATATGTCAAGATCAATACAATTAACCAATAATATGAGCTTTTATCTTGATTAAGCTTTTGATTAATACAATCAACATGTTGTATTTATGTTACTTGTCTTATTTTTCAGGTTAATAGTTACATGTAATTGCTTTTTAAAGTACTTAATAGTATAAGAATCTCTTTAGCTATTAGTATCCAAAAGTTAAAACTCATTTATTTATTTATTTTTGCATTGATTATTTGTTTGAAAGGAGTTGGAGAGTCAAATGAAGCGCAATCAACATGTGAGACTAACAAGGAGGTTAATGCTAAGAAGCAGAGGAGGAGGAAGTCCAAGACAACTTCCTCACCAAAATCTAGCTCATCATCAAGAGCAATGAAATCCAAGGCTAAATTTGTAAAAGAACAATCCAAACCAACAAATATAGAAGTGGCTTAATGTTAGAACCAAAAACAAAAATGAATCTTGTTTCTTCCTATCAAAGGTTTTTGAAAATTCTCATGATGTTCAAATTCTGAAAAGGCATTGAAGAGGGTAGGAAGGAGGGAATAGAAAATCGTGTAAATCGTCCTAGAAGGGATACATTATAAATGTGAGTGAGAAATACAAAAAAAAAGGGGGTAGAGATGTGAAACAAAAAAAATGTAGAATTTGATTTATAAATGGAGAGACATGCTTTTGGGGAAAATTGTAAAATCTAAATGATCAATGGATCTTTTTTACTAACTTATTTTCTTATGTTGTAAATTGATTGATTTTCTATGTGGAAGAAAATCCCATCACATAAATAAGGCCCGGCTTGGCCTTTGAAATATGATGGGCTGGGATGGGTCGGTCCACTATTTGTGTGGGCCTTAAATGGTTCTCCCAATACAATCTTGAGAGGGTCATGAGTTGGATTGCGTGAATCCATTTGAGTGAATAATATATTAAAAGGATAAAAAAATATCGAGAAAAACTCATATCTAAAATTTGAGACTATATAAAGGAGTTTTGAGTTGGATGGCCATTGAAGAGCTTCTAAGCTCAAATTTTAAAATTTGTCACAAACATAATTGCTTTAAGTGAATAATATGTCAAAAGAAATGAAATACTGAGTCTAAATTTAGATATGTTTTGAGGATAATTGAGCTAGTCGAAATAGAAAAATAAGTTACTTCATTGAGGAAGATAAATGGTGTATGTACACATTATATATACACAATTTTACATTATTTATACAATATAGATACACTACGTATACATACGATTATTTAGCTGATTTTTTTTCCGTTGTGCAATACATTTATGTAAGATACCCATCACATAAAGGGCTAGGTTAAGGCGGCTTAGCGGGTCAAACTCATATTTAATCATTTATGATGATCTCTCCAAACAGGCGCACGCTTATCTTCAAATATCTTAATGTCTCTAGTTGCAATGGAAAACCGAATACATTGCATAATCAAATTTATGTATCCAGAATTATGTTACATTTATTTCTTAACAGTAATTACTTCAAATAAATCATTAACACAAAAGAGTTATTATTAGCTCAGTAAAGCTTCTCAAAGTAGCTTATCATTGTCATTACTTTGCATGCAACTAAAAACCACAATAATTAATTGAAAAGGTTACATATTTGGCCTTTCGCTAAAAATAATTACAATCGTTAGCCATATATACAATAATTATGCATAAATAATGTATACTATATGCATATATACATTAATATACATTTTTTGCTATCTCTTTTGTGAGCAACTATAAAATGTAAAAAAGAAAGAAAAAAAAAACAGTTCAATGTCTTTAAGTGTTATCGCTTACTCAATATGTACACAATGTATAGGTTAGGTAAACTTATCCTAAATATACTTATATACTATATATATATACCTATGCATAACCAATATATATATATATATGTAATGTATATTTCGACTATTTTTGTACGTATTTTGTAAACTGATTATCTGAGCAATATATTTCGGTAAACATCCCATATAAAAATCCCTTAATCAAGTTGTTTTAGTTTTTAGTTTTATAATTTGTTTGCATCAAAGCTATTGTTGGTCCCATTTTCCTGTTAATTCATTCATTAATTTCCTTTGAAAATTCTTTTTTTAGTTTGTGGGTGGAAAAAAAAAGATTCATAAGTTGAAACAAATAAGAGCCTATTAATTGTGGGAAATCCCGTGAATGGTGAAATTAAATTCTGATTGTCTTAAATAACATAGACAACATAACAAAATTAAATTCCAATTTAAATATAGGCAAGGTACCTTTCCATACAATAATTAATACACTATACCCCCAATTCCTCTAGTTGGTAATACAGGCCAGCTGGTTTTCTGCCCCACATTTTTTATTTACCATCGTTGTTTCGATTATCGTATTATCTATTGTTGTTATTGTTCTTTTTTCTATCAATTTTCAATATGATTTCTTTTCTAATGTATTCTCTTATACAATTTTTTATATGCTTTTTACTGAAACTGAAAGTCAATCAAAAATAGTCTTTCTTAACATCACAAGATAGGGGTAGCATTACGTACACACTATTCCTTCAAGACTTCACTTAATTTTGAGATTTCATTGAATGTATTATTGCTGTTTCCGTACTTTCAAGCAACTTATAAGGGTGGCTTGGAGGTAGAGGCGGACCCACCCCTCTAGGTGGGGTGCACGTGCACCCGGTAACTTCAGAAAAAATTATATATATATTGAGAAACTGATAGAAATTAGGATATAATTAACAGTGCATCCATGAAAAGCATAGGAGTGCCAATGTACGATATATTTTTTTTTTTATGAAAACGATATTAATTTTGAAACCAAAAAAATAACAATAATAATAATAATAATAACAAAAAAAAGTTCTCTTTTTTTGTCACACTCACATTTGATTAAAAGCCAGTTTGCCACACCTTGTTGTGGTCCTCAAATTAATGGCTTATTTTTTCAGTTGTCACCAAAATTGACTTTTAAGGACACATTAATTTGATCTTGTCATGAAGCCTTAATATCTAAACCATACCCTTTAATTATGGCTTAATTTGTTCACAATGATTTTCATAAATGCTCCTATCAAATAAACATACATGGTTATGAATATACTTTGATTCAAAAGAAAAAGCAGAGTTATATCTTCTAAAATCAAAAGCAATAACAGCGGGATAAAGTAAGAAGATGCACAAGAATAGATATTTGGAATGTTCCATGATTAAGTATACTTACTGCAGCTGATTTTTTTCAATTTTTAATTTACCTTTATTGAAGAAGGATTAACATAATCGATAAGTTTGAATAAATTATAAGAGTGGGAGTTCCAATTAGCAATTAAAAAAAAGTTGAAATAAACCTATAATTATACACTGAGGAGTTTAGGACATCTTCACAATTAAATTATTTTAGCAGGTAATTATTGGTAAATGATTGACCATTGAAGTCAGTTGGGAGTTGGGACATCAATTTTCTTGATTGGATCTATTCAAAAATTATTATTATCCCCATTCAAAATAAAATAAAATTGTTTACTTTAGTTTATATAGTGATGTTTTTATTTTTTATTTATTATATCGTTAACATTATCTATTGAGGTTATACATAAATTAATATGAGTATTATCAAAATATACATTGTTGAAATCAAATTTTAAGAGATGAAGATAATGAGTTTCATAGTGATTTTCTATCTTGCATGTAAGTTGTTCCGTTTTTTCCAATGATGGAATGCTAGAAAGGATATCATACGTTTAATTTGGGGACCATAACCTATATATATATATATATATATTCCAATAACACAAGTTGTATTTCTAATTTAGTCCATCATTAAGTTAGAAATTATGATCGAATATCTACACATAAGACCTCGTACTTTATGAGGTGTCTTGTACACTCATGAACTTTAAGCCTTAGAAGATCATTATTAATTTTGATCAATCTTCTAGCGATAACATAACAACCAACATACAATTATTAATAATAATAAAATGTGTACACCATAAAAATTTCTAAAAATCTCTTACTTGAACTAAAAAAACCTCTTTCTCACCTTTTAATAGTTTGTTAGTATCAATACGTGTAAGAGAAGTCAATTTTTCAATATAAGAAGTATTAAGAACTAACTAAATGATCACTCAAGATTACAACAACATATATTGATGATCACAAATCTTGATTTTTTTAGTTTAGTTATTTAAGTAGATAAGTGTATTTAAAACTGTCAATAGTTCGAGTACGAAATTAATATTTTTTTCTTCAATTCAAACATGCTCTTTAGTCTTCCTTCAGGATGACAAGAGATAAACTACAAAAGTTAGCTATCAATTTTCATTAATGAAAATTCTTGTTATTAATGTTCTTAGGTGAAACGTGATCTATGATGAGAAAAATAGGATAAAATTTATAGATGGCTGACTATGTGTTTTTTTTTTTTCATCAAAGATATTTGATTATATTTTTTAATTCGAAAATTACACAACTTTGCCTTTACATACAAAAAAATTATATATGTCAAGAAAATTTAACTTTCAATGGATAATTTCTTTTTGCTATTTTTTTTAATCTAATAATACAAAGTCAATTAAAAAAGATCAACCATATCCGACCCGATTTAAAACCCAAATTTGATGGGTAATAATCTTTTACTCTTTTATTTTTGTTTTAATCGAATAAAGTAAGAAATTATTACCTATCGAATTTGGTTTTGGATTGGCTTAGATCGGTCTCTCTTTTTCTTTTCTTTTTTTAATATTGAATTTGTATTATTAAATCAAAATAAGAAAATACTAAAACAAAATTACCTATCAATAAATCAATTTTCGTCATATGTGATTTTTATATTAGGTAGTAAGACAATATTTTATGTTGTGTAAATGTATGTATGTATTTTCAAATTATTATACGTTTTGAATGTATGTGAGACCAATTGTAAGAATATGTCTGTGTGACAGTGACAGTGACAGTGGCAAGCATATATAAATAAATAAATTTATATATAAAATTGCATGATTTCACTACATTATATAATTTTTTAGAGTATCGCTATAAATAGTAAGGGCATGTTTGATATTTCGACTAAAAATTAACACTTTTAAATATCTTTTCAGAAAAGTGATTTTGAAAAGAAAAAAAACAATTTATGTTTGATTAGTTCATTTGAATAATGATTTTGATGAGCATATTGTGTTTGACAAATCTTTTTTTAAAATACTTTTAAGAGTCAAATTACAA